AACGCACTCGACACAGCACTTTCCGCGATGTTGTCACAAATTCTTTGGGGTAGGTTTTGAAGAAGGTCATGGGTCCTGTCTGGCACCGAAACTTTCAAGATATCCCCAATAGGTTGCCAGAATTTGCGAGTCAAAGTTGGGTACTGTAACCGCTGTTGAAACCATGGCTCGATAAGGCTGTGGTGTATTTGCATGACAAATTTTTTTCTTGAAACCGGTTTTGACTTTTCACAACATTAATGACATATGCATTCAAAAGTACAAAATAACAAAAGTGTTCAGAATTCCATACAATACGCACAAAGGCCACCGTTTAGTTTTGCGAACGGCTAAAGCCGAATGATTTTAGTTCTAGATAGAGTGTTAGTTCTAGCGACAGTGTTAAGTAACGCTAGTAAGCACCAGATAGTGCTAGATTGTGTGTTGTTATTGAACTAAAACTAGAACTAACACTAGATCTAGAACTAGAAAGTTTCTGGTTCAGCCGTGCGTCTTCAAGTTTTAACTGTTATACAGAGCTAGACCAAGAACTAGAATCATTCGGGTTTAGCCATCTTACGAGACATACTGCTTAACCCAAATGTTTCTATTTATAAGTCTAATGTTAGTTCTAGTGATAGTGCAAGTGTAATTCTAGAACTAACAGAAGACCTGGAACTAGAATCATTCGGGTTTAGTCGCACATCTCTCAAGACGGCTGCAAGAAGGCTGACACTGTTCTAGTATTGAACTAGTACTATCACTAGAACTAACACAAGACCTAGAACTAGAATCATTCGGGTTTAGCCGTCTTGAGAGACGAGCGGCTAAACCCGAATGATTCTAGTTCTAGATCTTGTGTTACTTCTAGAATTACACTTGCACTCACTAGAACTAACATTAGACCTAGAACTAGAATCATTCGGGTTTAGCCCGAGAAGATAGTATTATTGAAATTTCCTGGAAAAAGTTATTAAAGTGGAAATTGTCATATTTATAAAAAAAAATAAATAATACGATATTTAAAAAAAAAACTTATCAACTGTATTTTTAAGTATTAGGATATGATATGTATGTTAAATTGAAGCTTAAAGATTCTAGTTTATGCTATGATATAAAAACTATAATGTAACATTAATGAAATTTCCTGAAAAACATTATTAAAGAAGACATTGTCGAATTTATAAATCAAAAATAACATGATTTTCAAAAAATCATATCGACTGTATTTTTAAGAATCAGGATATCATATGTATGTTAAATTGCAGCTTAAAAATTGTAATTTATGATATGATATGAAAATTATAAGATTATATCATTGAAATTTCCAGAAAAAAATTCTTAAAGAGGAAATTGTCGAATTTATCAATAAAAAATAATACGAAATATTCAAAAAATCATATCGGATGTATTTTTAACGATCATGATATGATATGTGTGTTAAATTGAAGCTTAATAATTCTAGTTTGTGATATGATATAAAAGTTATAACATTATATCATTGAAATTTCGGGAAATAGATTGCTAAAGAGGAAATAGTCAAATTTAACAAAGAAAAATAATACGAAATTTTCAAAAATCTTATCGACTGTAATTTTAAAAATCATGATATGATATGTATGTTAGATTGTAACTTAAAGATTCTAGTTTATGCTATGATATAAAAACTATAAGGTGATATTAATGAAATTTCCTGAAAAACATTATTAAAGAAGACGTTGTCAAATTTATAAATCAAAAATAACACGATTTTCAAAAAGTCATATCAACTATATTTTTAAGAATCAGGATATCATATGTATGTTAAATTGAAGCTTAAAGATTGTAGTTTATGCTATGATATGAAAATTATAAGATTATATCATTGAAATTTCCAGAAAAAAATTCTTAAAAAGGAAATTGTCGAATTTATCAATGAAAAATAATACGAAATATTCAAAAAATCATATCGGATGTATTTTTAACGATCAAGGTATGATATGTGTGTTAAATTGAAGCTTAATAATTCTAGTTTATGATATGATATAAAAGTTATAAGATTATATCATTGAAATTTCGGGAAAAAGATTGCTAAAGAGCAAATTGTCGAATTTAACAAAGAAAAATAATACGAAATTTTCAAAAATCTTATCGACTGTAATTTTAAAAATCATGATATGATATATATGTTAGATTGAAGCTTAAAGATTCTAGTTTATGCTATGGTATATAAACTATAATGTAACATTAATGAAATTTCCTGAAAAACATTATTAAAGAAGACATTGTCAAATTTATAAATCAAAAATATCACGATTTAAAAAAAAACAATTCGACTGTATTTTTAAGAATCAGGATATCATATGTATGTTAAATTGAAGCTTAAAGATTCTAGTTTATGATATGATATGAAAATTATAAGATTATATCATTGAAATTTCCACAAAAAAATTCTTAAAGAGGAAATTGTCGAATATCAATGAAAAATAATACGAAATATTCAAAAAATCATATCGGATGTATTTTTAACAATCAAGATATGATATGTGTGTTAAATTGAAGCTTAATAATTCTAGTTTATGATATGATATAAAAATTATAAGATTATATCATTGAAATTTCGGGAAAAAGATTGCTAAAGAGGAAATTGTCGAATTTTACAAAGAAAAATAATACGAAATTTTCAAAAAATCATATCGGATTTATTTTTAACAATCAAGATATGATATGTGTTAAATTGAAGCTTAATGATTCTAGTTTATGATATGATATAAAAACTATAAGGTGATATTAATGAAATTTCCTGAAAAACATTATTAAAGAAGACGATTTTCAAAAAAACATATCGACTGTATTTTTAAGAATCAGGATGTCATATGTATGTTAAATTGAAGCTTAGAGATTGTAGTTTCTGCTATGATATGAAAATTATAAGATTATATCATTGAAATTTCCAGAAACAAATTCTTAAAGAGGAAATTGTCGAATTTATCAATGAAAAATAATGCGAAATATTCAAAAAATCATATCGGATGTATTTTTAACGATCAAGGTATAATATGTGTGTTAAATTGAAGCTTAATAATTCTAGTTTATGATATGATATAAAAGTTATAAGATTATATCATTGAAATTTCGGGAAAAAGATTGCTAAAGAGGAAATTGTCGAATTTAACAAAGAAAGATAATACGAAATTTTCAAAAATCTTATCGACTGTAATTTTAAAAATCATGATATGATATATATGTATGTTAGATTGAAGCTTAAAGATTCTAGTTTATGCTATGATATAAAAACTATAAGGTGATATTAATGAAATTTCCTGGAAAACATTATTAAAGAAGACATTGTCAAATTTATAAATAAAAAATAATACGATATTTTCAAAAAATCTTATCGACTGTAATTTTAAAAATCATGATATGATATGTATGTTAGATTGAAGCTTAAAGATTTTTGTTTATGATATGATATAATAACTATAAGGTGATATTAATGAAATTTCCTGAAAAACATTATTAAAGAAGACGTTGTCAAATTTATAAATCAATATGATTTTCAAAAAATCATATCCTCTGTATTTTTAAGAATCAGTATATGATATGTATGTTAAATTGAAGATTAAAGATTCTACCTTATGATATGATATAAAAATTATGAGATTGTATCGTTGAAATTTCCAGAAAAAAAGTGTTTTATCGAATTTATTATGAAAATTTTAAATTTAATTTTTATTTTTAACGATCAAAATATGATATGTGTCTTAAATTGTAGCTTAATGATCCTAGTATATGAAATGACATAAAAATTATAAGATGGTATTATTGAAATTTCCTGGAAAACATTATTAAAGTAGAAACTGTCATATCTATAAAAAAAATAATACGATATTTTCAAAAAAATCTATCGACTGTAATTTTAATAACCATGATATGATCTGTACGTTAAACTGAGGCTTAAAGATTTTGGTTTATGATATGATATAGAAACTATAAGGTGATATTAATGAAATTTCCTGAAAAGCGTTATTAAAGAAGACATTGTCAAATTTATAGTCTGATGACCCGAAACTTTCTAATTCTAGGTCTAGTATTAGTTCTAGTTTTATTTGTTACTCAGCGCCAAATTGTTATATAATATATCTTTATTGAACTGACACACTAGGCTTAGAACTAGAAACATTCGAGTTTAGCCGTCTTGAAAGACGAGCAAAAAATCATTAAAAAGTTTCTGGACACTTCTGGTCATCTTTAAAAATCTTCTGGAAATCTTTATCACTGTCTAGAAAGCATTTAAACACTATTTGATAATTATAGAAACCATTAGAAAGCTTCTGGACACTTTTGGACGTCTTTAAAGTCCCCTAGTTTATTACTAAAAGTAGAACTAGAAACATTCGGGTTTAGCCGTCTTAAGAGACGCACGGTTAAACCCGAAACTTTCGAGTTCTAGGTCTAGTATTAGTTCTACTTTTATTTGTTATTCAGCGCCATCTTGCTGTATATCTTTATTTAACTCGAAATTTTTACGATAGTTTAGCTAACAATATCAATTTCAAAGATTTTTATAAAAAGTTATCTTTCGTGTACTACTTAAAAGATTTTAGTTTAAAAATAAAACAAAACGTTTCTGTTCGTTTGAAAGCTTTTAGTCAAATGAGCTGAAACCAAAGGGGATTAAGTACTGGATTTTTCGGGCCCCCGGATTCCGTGACAAACGGCGGTTCCGAAACACAGCCTGTTTCGCGCTGTTTATGCAAATTCTCTTTTCCTTCTTTCCACAGAGTACATACTTTCTCCACGTTTGCGGCTTATTTTTCACGAATCTGCTCACGCCAGCCCCATTTGTACCGGCGCATTTATAATTTTTTTTTTACATCTTTTTATTACCCGCGACCCGGTTTCGGTTACATTTGGCGAAATTCGTGTTACGACCGAGTTTAGATCGTTATCGACACGTTTTACTAAGAAAAACGAGGATATTTGAACGATTCCTTTTATTATTTATTTTCGTATTTTTCGGGGGATTTAAACCTTCAGCAATGAGAGAAACAAAATTCGGGGTTTTAATCATTTTAAACACAACAACGCGAAAGTAATCCAACCGTGATATTTTCCGCGAGAACTGACTGTATAAAAGCGCTTTGCTTCGCTGCTAACAAATTTTATTCGGGATGAAACACTCATTTTAATGAATTTATAAAAATTGCTGAAATTTATAAATTTAGAATTAATTTTTAAAAACTAAAATTAATTTGTTTCATTTTTGCGTTTCAGAGATCTCCAAGGGAATAATATAACCACATTGTTTGAATCAGACTTTCAACACCTTACTAAATTGAGGATTTTGTAAGTATTTGTTTTAAAAATTTCATTGGTTATTAACAAGTCACAAAAATGGACAAAAATTACGTTTTACACTGTAGAACATCATTTAACTCCACTTTCTCATTTGCAGACAATTAACAGATAACCACATTCATACAATTGAAAAAGACACATTTAAAAACTTGAATACCATTGAACGTTTGTAAGTATTTCACAAAAATCTGTTACTTTCTAACCCTTTAATGCTTATTTTCGTGTGGGAAATTAAAAATCCTTTAAAATGAGCCCAAACACGACTAATTTATCTTAACAATTAACTTAAAAGTTAATAAAAAAACAATCGACGATCACCTGTCAATTATTTTTTAAAATTATCATATTTCATTCATTTTTTAATATAACCCCATCGTGTTTAGACTCATTTTAAAGGATTTTTCACCAAGGATGCATTTTTTTAAATTACTTTTTTGTTTTGTAGACGACTAAATGGAAATAATTTAAGACACATCCCCGACAACTTATTTTCGTTTCAAACTAATTTATTTAGATTGTAAGTAGTTATTTTTTTTTCAATTTTAATTTATTTAATTTATACATATATAAGATGATTTTCTTTCCGTTTTTAAGGGATTTGAGTCACAATCAAATCAGCGTGATTGGAAGGAAGACTTTAAGAGGAATTTCCGCGATTAAAAATTTACAACTCGATAATAATGGGATCACTTGTATCGATGATCAAGCTTTGAGGTTTTTTAAAGATTTGGAAATTTTGTAAGTAAATATTTATGTTTAAATTTATCATTAAGTTAATCCAAAAAAAAATTTTACCGAGCGCCATCTGTTATGGAGGGTCGACACTCGGATGTCTCAAAGTTATAGAGCTATATTCGATGTGCTACTCTACAGTGAAATTTGTATTTGTTGTTAGATGGCACTTAATATTTCTTACGAGTGCTAAATAGCTTTATGGGGTTACATGGGAGATGTATGGGATTTTCAAGTTTAAAAAAGGGTGTTTGCCACTTAATGGTACATGTATCCTTATGGGTACGTGGGGTATGGCAATCAAGACATACCCGGCACATAATTTTTGTTAATGAGGGGCTGTTTCTTGCCAAGTTGCAGAGGCGCCCCCACTTATTTATAATCAAAAATAACATTTACCATAAGTACAGAATATTCAAAAATGACACTGACTTCGATTCGTTTTATAACCTCGATGTAAAATCCATCTTATCGTAATGAATAAAGCTCGTTACTATAGTAGAAACCACGAGAGCTGGCAGTGACAGATCGCTTAAAAATGGTATGAATCAAGATATGGACGTACGACTTAGATTATTTCACCACATACATTTAAATGTAGGTTATGTTAGTAATGGAGGTTATATGTCAAACATTGTCAAAGATATTATTTAATGATTTTCCTTTCAAAGAAAACATTTTCGGCTTGTGAAAACACTAACAGATTCATGACAACGCTCACAAGACGTTTCGATTTGAGGTTA